TCTGAATCTCACAAGGTTGAAATCAAGCTGTACACCAGCTAGCTAGGCTTTCCTTGGTAGGCTCTGGGGAGAAGCTGCATCTAAGATTACTTGGGTTGGCAGAGGACACTTCCTTGCAAATGTAGGACCGAGGTTTTCATTTTCTTGCTGGCTGTTGACTGGGGCCACCCTTAACTCCAGACACTTCTTATCTGGAGATGAGAGGTGCCCCTACCTGTCAGAGTCAGCAGATGAATCCTTCTCATGCTTGGATCTCTCTGACATCTCTTGCTGCCCAATCTCTCTTCCCTCCAGCAGGAGAAAGTTCTCTACTTTTAAATACTCATGTGATTAGATTGAACCCACCTAGGCAATTCAGGATAAAATCCTTGTTTTAAGTTCCATAACCTTAATTACATTTACAAAGGCCCTATTAATAAATGATGCAACATATTCACGGGTTCCAGAAATGAAGGCTTGGACATTTGTGTGTGAGCTTTCTGCCTACCATACTCATTTCTTTGATCTTTCAAAATAATCACACTATGAGTATACTAACTTAATAGAGGTTCAGTCTAATTAAAGAAGCATGAATGAACAGAAAACTGTTGTCTTTTCATTGAGGTAGTCAGGATGAAAGATGGAGAATGGGTAAGGATGGAATAATCATCTTCCATATTTCTCCTTGTTCTCTCTTTGTTTTTCTTTTCTGTTTTTTTTTTTTTCATTTTCTGGGACAGAATGAAGGATAAAAGTTAAGAAATGTAGAACATAAAACTTAAATTTCTAGAAACTTTTTTCTTTCACTTTCTTTCCTCCCCTCCCCTTCCTTTCTCTTCTCCACTTCTCTTTTATCTTCTTTATCATTTTGTAATTTCTTGTAGACTTTTTGCTACTTCTTTCCTTCCTACTTTTTCTCCTTCTTCCCCTCCCTCTCTGTCTCATTTTCTCTCTCTTCTTTCTTTTTTTCATTTTTTTTCTTTCTCAAAAGTAGTAGAATAGAAGAACAGAACTTACTAAGGATAGCATTTATTGAATAGAAACCTTCTTGGGAGTATTATAAAAGTAGTTATGGCTGAATTTCCTCAGAAGATGGTATTCTTCTCTCTTTGTAGATGAGTAAAGCAAAGATTAGATAATTCAAGTAATTTTCCCATAGCTTGAAAGAGATAATAGAAGGATTTTAGCTGTGTTCAATTTGACTTTAAGGCCTCTGACTTAGGAAATGTTCTCTAATGAGAACCTTCCTCTCATTTCACTTTCTCTTGTTCCATGATCTTAATATTGGATTGAAATATTTTCTTTCTAGAATAATATTCAATCTTTATAAAACCTATTAATATAAACACTTAATATGTTTATGTATTGAAATATATTCTGAATTTTTAAATTTATTGTTTATTTTCATTCATTCATTCATTTATTTACTTAAGATTGCCCATTTTGCTGGATAGATTTGTATTTAAATTCTGAGAATAAGAATAATGGAACTAGGAATTTTTTGAAGCATCTGCTTTTTGTAAAAGATGTACTTTTTTCACTTTATCCACATATGTAATACTGTATTGCGTATGGTTAGAGAGACTTATTCTCCTTGATCATAGTGGGGACTTTCAGAGACCACTTCATAATGCTTTCACATGATACTGTAAGTTGACCATTTTAAAATTAATTGGTGAATATAAAAACTTCATGAATAAAATAAACATGAAAACTGAAAATATTTGAACCAAGTTTAGAGTTGTAACCAAATCAAATGCCTGTGTTTGCATGGTACAAGTGTTTAAAAATTCAGTGCAATTCAATAAACATTTACTGAATGCTGCCATTGTGTTAGGGTAGAGGATACAAAGCTGTAAAGACTAGGACCCTGCCTTTGAGAAACTTACCCCTTGGCTGTGAAGAAAAGGTAGAAAGGAATAAGCCGGATCCAAGAATTGAGAGGCAGAAATGAGGTACCTCTGGGATTTCTGCCTCTCTAGTGACTGGCCTTGTGGGAATATGTAAGAATTGTGGCAATTCATAGAAGCTCAGAGAATTTTGATGTCTAATCAGACACAAACACATCTATGAATATAACCAAGGAGTAAAGTGAAGCAATCAGGCCTGGAGGGAGTTGAAACCTAAGACTCTGGTTTACCTAACGTACTCTACTAGCAACTAAGCCATAATGTATGTGACCCATGGGAGCTATTGAAGCAGGCTTTCCTTACCTCTCAATTTAATATTCTTTCCATATTCTTCAGTGACAATTTTTTGCCTTGGTTTTAACCCAGAGATGAAAAGAGTCATGTAGTCTACCGTACACAATATCTCTCCTACTTTGCGTGACTTTTGGCGAGGTATTCCGCTTCTCAGATCCATGTACAACTCCTCTGTAACATGGGTATAATAGGTTTTACCTTGTAAGGTTTTTGAAAGGATTTTCTATGATTCATTAGAAGCACTTAGCCTAGTGCTTGTTCTGTATAGATGATAAGGAAATAATAAATACTCTTTTCATTGTACTTTACTATGTCAGCCTTCCACAGATGAGTTCTTTGTTAACTTTTGATTTGTTTTTTATTTAGAATATTTACTTTTGGTTTTCTAATGTGTTTTCATTGACTAATTTTTAGATGTAAATTTGGCCAGTAAGTTTGAAAATATATAATTTCATTCACTTATTATAATTTAATCATTGTTATTGTTTCATAACTCATAAACAGTACAGTTTAGCTGAATAGTATAAGATATAGGTTCTCAACCCAGGCTGCATATTAGAATCATTGGAAAAACTTTCAGAAATGTTGGTGTCCAGGCATTACCCCACGCCATTGAATTCAGAATTTCTGGTTACGGATCAAATTATTATTAATAACAGCTCTTTATCTCTGAAGTGGCAATAATAATACTATCTATTCAGCCTATCTAACAAAGTTGGTCTGAGGATTACATAAAAATATATATTCAAAAGCAACTGATGAAGTGAGAATTGAAATAAAAATGTAAGTTGATATTAAAGCATTTTAGAAATACTCTGCTTTTGAGGGGTTCACCATGTACTTAGAGAAACAGGACAAAACATAAAAAGTTCAAGGTAACATGTCACATACTAAATGGAAGTAACAGAGAATAAATGTGCTGGGAATCCCGTCCCAGCCACATTGGGTAGGCAATCCTTAATGACTATATGGCTGTGATCTTCTCTAGCACTTACTAATTAGTTATACCTCAGGTTTCATGATCAAAGAACAAACGTGATAACATTATTGAGGCTTGAGAGGGGTATTAGGAGGGAAGTTTTATTTGGGGCGGTTGTCTAAAACTGCTTACCTGAAATGCTCATTCATCAAGTCATTTAACAAAATATTTATTGCCTTCTATATGCTTTCTGGGCTTTTTCTTTTTAAAGCCAGTTTGAAGAAGCAGTACAAAGTAGTGGTTAATAGCACAGATGCTTGAGCCAGAATGTCTAGGTTTGAATTCTGAGTCCACAACTTTTTGGTTGTTTTATGTTGGGTAAATTCTTAACTTCACTATAACTCAATATTCTCCCTTTATATATGAAGGATGATAATATTAATAATATTAATTCCCACAGTTGTCAAGAGAGATTTAATATGTTAGTAAGTGTAAAGTGCTCTGAACTGTGCATGGCCATAATAAGAGATGTGTGTTTGTTAACATCTTTGCATTATATTCTGTGATATTCTTCGTTTGTTTTAATATGGAGATAATGTTTTAAATTAGCTACCACCATATGAAAACAGCGTTCAGAACACCTGATATGTCCTTCTCCAAGATATACTCAAATTTATGAATATCAGTTTTCTAAGGGACCATCTGATTTGAGATTGGTAGTTTGCAACAACGTGGATGATCCTAGACAATATTATGCTACGTGAAATAAGCCAGTTACATCTGTTGGGCTATTGCGCAACATGGTGACTATAGTTATTTAATAATAATAATGTATGTTTCAAAGTAGCTAAAAGAGTAGATTTTAAATGTTTCTGCCACAAAGAAATGATTTTTGGGTGATGAATATGTTAATTAGCCTGATTGGATCATTCCACAATGCTTATATGTATCAAAACAGTATATTATACTCTATAAATATATACAATTTTTTTCAATGAGAAATGAAACTTAAAAAGAAGATTGGAAAAAGGGTTAGAAGACATAATGAGGGAAGTGCAGAAAGCAGTGAGAACATTTATACCAGTGAGATCTCCCCGAGTTTCGGGTCAGAGAACTCTTGAGTAGTGCTTACGATGAGACCGGAAAGATGAATAGAGTTGGTGAAGAGCTTGGAGGCTGTGTGGTGTGTATGGGGGTGGGCTGCGTGGAGATGGAGAGTGTTCCAGAGAAAGAGAAAACAAACAAAAAAGCTTTGTTTAAAACTCTGTGACCTTATCAGTGAACAAAAGATCCAACACCTTTTGAGTGTGGAGGGGCAGAATATACTGTTATGTTCTAGGGCTCTTAACACCCACAACAGTGGGATGGGTACAGAATAAGAAATTGACCTTGTGCTGGAAGAATGTTCTCAGGTGATTGTAACACTAGCAGAAAGGGAGGAGTATTTAGTTCTGTGGCAGTGCAGAGCAGAAAGAAACCAGTTTTTCTTAGGGGGGTTATGTGAGTAGAAAGCGGAGGGTTTTTCAAAACTCTGGTTGGCATTTGGCATGCTTCTTTTTTTTTCTTCCATCCCATTTTATGACAATCCTGTCCTTGTGTTCCAGAACGAATGGCTATTTAATACACATCCCAAGATCCTAAAATGGATCTTGTTAACATTCAAGTCTCCCATTTCTTTCTCAGTATGTTAAATCAAAAGGGAAAAAAAGTCTTTAAAAAAATCAATAGGTTTAGTTCATCCCAGGAAAAACACCTTTACAACAGGAAACTAAATGTGTCAGGAATCTGACCAAAAAGGAAGAAAGATTGAGACTTGCAGTGTTATAGGTCCAGGTTGGGGTTGTGTTGTAGTTTCTTTTGTTCTTAACTGCGTGTTGACGCTTGCCTTATTTGTTCAGCTAGGATTGTGTCTAAGCAGAGCCTCTGCATCTGTTCTTAACCTCAACTGCAGTCTTATCCTTTTACCCATGTGTCGAACACTGCTGGCTTACCTGCGAGGATCCCAGAAGGTAAGAAAAAAAAGATCCTACCTACAGATTCCAGCATATAAATCAAGTGTAACAGTTATATATTAGGTCTGCTTGGTTTTCATGGTCTAGAATTTTTTGGCTAGAATGATTTCTTCAAAGATGATGGCAAAGGCCACATCACCTGTCAAGATGATCAGTGAGCTAGTCTGCAACACTAGATAAGGGCAGAGAATAATAGAAATATTAACAACAGTGGTTTCAGACACTATACTCAGCACTTCACCATATGTAATTGTGAATGCTTACAAGGATTCTGCAATCAGGTATTGTTCCATTTTACACATGAGGAACCTGAGGCATAGAGAGTTTCAGTAACTTGTCCAAGATCATGAGCCTAGTGAATGGCAGAACTAAGATCAATCCCAATTCTGAGATCTTTCCATTATACCGTGCCTCATTGAGATCCTATATTTTCATTTAGCTAAATCCAAATGAGCAAACTAGAACCTTGTAGCCTTTTAGCAAATACATGGAATGATTGCTGGTGTTGGTAGTTTATCCCTGCTTAACACACATACCCATTTTGTATGAAACAGGCTTGAAAAAGATGCCTTGATTAAATAGTGAAGTCATGTACGATATTTAATGTTGTAAAATGAAGGAGGTAAGAAAACGGAAAAACACTTAGTTGTTGTGTTAAAACTCAAGTAAAATTTTTTTTGTCTTCAATTATTTTTGTGTCAGAGTGTGTGTGCATGCATATTAATTTTTTTGCTTAGATAGTAAGTGCTGAATACATACTGATATTTTAAAAAGAGCTGTTAACTAGAGGTCACTTTGATGTTCTGTGAATTTCATGTGTGCAGATTTACTCTAGTAAAACTTCTCAACCTTTTTATGTAATTTTATTTGGAAACTCTACTTTTAATGTGGTAATTTGTGAAAATAACTCTTTCTCTAGGTTGCCTACCATTGTAAAATGCTAGGTTTTGATCCCTGTGGCTGGCCATTGGCTTGGTGTGAAGAAAGAGAAGATAAGTGGCAGGCAAAGAAAAGTTTCCCCCTAAGTCTCCCAGTATTTAATAATCTTTAAAGAATTGTCCCCAGTGTGAAACAGTCATTTAAAGATGCTTGACATTTTATTTTGTTGTAAGAGCATGCAGGCATTTAAAACCATAGATGAGATTGCTTCATTTAAAAATAATCATATTTTTTGACTACAAAAGGAAATAGTATATATTTTAAAATTCAGACATTCCAGAAATACACAAAATGATCAAAATTTTTCCTAATTTTACTCTGCAAGAACAACCACTGACGACAATTTGGGGTAAATGCCTGCAGACCGTTAACATATAATGCTATTAACGTTGAACAGTATAGGATCATAGTGTAGTTTATGTTTTGTAACTTTTTTCACCTAACAATATATCTTGCACATCTTTCCATGTCAATAATATAGCCTTCTTACATTCTCTTTAATGGCTTGGGTGTTCCATTGACTAGATATATCATAATTCATCTCACCAATTTTTTATTAATAGGATTCTGCTATATTTCCAAAATTTTAATGTTACGAACAATCCTATAGTGAAAAACTGTGTATGTATATCTTATTTTTTGCATTATTTTTACCATATTAAATGATTTTTATTTAGGTTCCAAGCAGGAGAACCAGAAGACTGTTGGATAAAAGTAGAACATTCCATATAACCTGTGGTGTTACTATCTGTATTTTCTCAGGTGAGAAAGCCAAAAGATGTTAAATATATTGTTAGAAATACACATTTTATGAATGATTAAAAGTGTAATTTTATTGTCTTATACATTATCTGCTGTCACCAACTTGAGATTTTCTTATTTTTTTCTTTTTGAGATTTTCTTATTAAGTAGCTTAGTGTTTCTTTTCTATGTGTTTAAAGAGGTTTGTCTGGGGGCACTACATAAAATGGGTATGTCTTATGATTGTTTGCACTATAATATCCAAAAGTTTGCCCCCAAGCTGATAATGACTATTTCCTGAAAGTAAATAATATAATTTAGAAAGATTGGAAGAAACACACTGAAAGTTTTCAAGCTCTGAAAGTAATACTATGATGTGAGTTTGAATGCATGAAAATCAGAATGTAAAATGTTCATTCATAAGAATATGATTCCATTCAAAATTATATTTAATAAATGTTTCTTTGATATTAATGCTTGGTTAGAAGAAAAAATGTCAAAATTTGTGAAATTATATCCTGCTCTTTTCCCAGTTAAAAAACAAAGTGAGAATCTGACTGTTACTAAGAGTCATTTCAAAATACATTTTATCCTGAGACGTATACGATGCTTTTCAAATTTTTGGAACAGAAAGCAATAAACATAGTGATTAAGTATACTGACCCTGGAGACAGATTGCGTAGACTCTGTCTCCAGCTACCCTTCTGCTTTACCATGTGACATCACCTCTCTGGTCTTTAGTTTGTTGTTTTTTTAACTGTAAAACAGATTGACAGTACCACCTAACTCATAGTTTTAAGGCCAAAATGAGAAAATGAATATGAAGCTCTTAGGATAGAATTATTTATTATAATTTTCAGTCTCAGGGGTTAATTATCCTAGTGGCATAGCACCTGACATTTTCGCCTGGCCAGTATCTGATATAACATAGCTATTTTGATACTAAGGCCATTTTGACTGGACATTTTTATATGACCATTTGACTCAGGAATATTTCAATATAGCTATTGCCAAGAAATGATTAAACTTTCAGCTTTGTGAAAATTTCCAAGCATTGTTGAAATAGACATCTTCACTGTTTTATTTCTGGACATCTTCCCATTGGTAGTCTCCATTCCCAGAGGTGAGAGATGGTGAGAGGCTCAGAGATGGGATTAAGACTCTAGTGAGGATAAGGACTGAGTGTGTGGTATTAGGGATAGATTAGGGGTAAGGAGGGTGAAAGGTCAGAAATGGAAGAGAATCAGGAAACTTTAGCATATTAATTATTGAATTTTTTTCTAGAGACTAATCATGTCCCAATATTCTGGTTCAGTTGGAAAACAGCCAAGAGACCAAGAATGTAGAGTATTGCCATGAATGAGCTTGTGTTCTAGAGGGTTTGCATTCTGCCACTCACTAGTGGTGTGACTTTAACTGAGTTACCTTTTTTATCTTCCTTTTCTTATCTGTAAAATAGGGATGATTCTGTCTACCTCATTGTTTTGTTGTGAGAATTAAATGAGAAAAATTGCAAAGTACTTGGTGTAGCTTCCTCCCTAGTGCCTAAAATTAGAAGACCTGAATTATTTTGACTTAAAGGGCCCTTTAAAGAAGGTGACTATATCCCTTAATGATTCATTTCTTATAGGTGTTACCTACAAGTTTTTTTTAGGGAAACTGAAAAATAATAATTATTCTTTTAAAGATGCCTTGTATTTTAGAATCATAAAGTATATAGTTAACCTAAAAGCTTTTAATTTAAAATGAAGGCATTTTTATTGTAGATTTTGTTATTGATGAAGCTACATAATACAAACAGTTTTCCTTAAATAATGTTGTATATCTGTGCCATAGTTGAGTCACACCTAAACACCCTTTGTTTTACTTCTTTGGAATCCTGTCCTTGCTTGTTAGTTAATCTACTTCTAGCTTCCTGTCTGTTTTTTCCCTCTTAAAAATATATTTTTTAAATACTTTAGTTTTTAGGGCATATTTAGGTTCACAATAAAACTGAGAGGAAGGTACAGAGATTTCTCATATACCCCTTACCTTCACACATGCATAGCCTTTCCCATTATCAACATACTCCACCAGAGTGATACAGTTTTTACAATTGATGAACCTACATTGATTGACACATCATTATCACCTGAAGTCTGTACTTTACATTAGGGTTCACTCTTGATGTAGTACATTCTATGGGTTTGATAAATGTGTAATGACATATATATTAGCCATTATAGTATCATATGAAATAGTTTCATTGCTCTAACAATCCTCTGTGTTCTACCTATTCATCCCTCCCGCTCTGCTAACAGGACAACCCCTGGTTTTTTACTGTCTCTGTAGTTCCCCTTTTTCCAGGATGTCTTCTGGTTGGAATCATACAATATGTAGCTTTTTCAGATTGACTTCTTGCACTTAGTAATGTGAAATTTAAAATTCTCCCATGTCTTTTTACAGCTTAATAGCTCATTTCTTTTTAATAATATTAATATTCCATTGTCTGGATATACCATAATTTATCCATTCACCTTCTGAAGGACATCTTGATTGCTTCCAAGTTTTGACAGTTATGAATATAGCTGCTATAAATATTCATGTGCATGTTTTTGTGTGGGCATAAGTTTTCCACTCCTTTGGGTAAATACTGAAGAGTATGATTGCCAGATCATATGATAAGAGTATGTTTAGTTTTGTAAGAAAACACCAAGCCCTCTTCCAAAGTGGCTGTACCATTTTGCATCCCCACCAGCAATGAATTAGAGTTCCTGTTGCTCCACATCCTTACCAGCATTTGGTGTTGCCAGTGCTCTAGATTTTGGCCATTCTAATAATTATGTAATACTATTTCATTGTCATTTTAATTTGCATTTCCCTGATGATACATGATGTGGAGCATCTTTTCATATGCTTATCTGACATCTATATATCTTCTTTGGTGAAGTGTCTGCTAAGGTCGTTGGCCCATTTTTTAATTCAGTTGTTTGTTTTCTTATTATTGAGTTTTAAGCGTTCTTTGTATATTCTGGACGACAATCCTTTAACAAATTTATCCTTTGCAAATATTTTCTCTCAGTCTGTGGCTTGTCTTTTCATTTTCTTGACAACGTCTTTTGCAGACCAGAGGAGATTTTTTTTTTTAAATTTTAATGAAGTCCAGCTTATCAATTCTTTCTTTCATGGATCATGTTTTTGATGTACCTAAAAAATCATTGCCACACTCAAAATCATCTAGATTTTTTGCTGTGTTTTCTTTTAGGAGTGTTATAGTTTTGCATTTTACATTTAGGTCTCTGATCCATTTTATGTTAATTATATTGAGATTCATTTTTTTTATATATGAATGTTCTGTTGTTCCAGCACTATTTATTAAAAATAATTTTTTCTCCATTATATCGCTTTTTGTCAAAGATCAGTTGACTGTATTTATGCAGCTCTATTTGTGGCATCTCTTTTCTGTTCCATTGATCTATTTGTCTTTCTTTTACTAATACCATACTCTCTTGATTCCTCTAACTTTATAGTAAGTCTTGAACCTGTCTACCTTTTATGTGACCTTTTCCCCACCTTTAATTTGATTACCTGAAGGAGCTTATAAGTTTTTAAAATTACTTTTAGGATACTTAGCATTCTAGTCCTCTCTCACTTTCATTGACCTTTGAACTCCTTTCCTTTTTACATCTCATATTCTAGATTGTAGGGGATTAGAGTTTCTAGATTCCAAGTCATGTCTTCTTTTGAGTCACTGTACTTCCATACGTTGTTGGAAACAATAATGGTTTACTAAGCAATTTCAAATCACTTATCTCATTAAATTTCTCATTTCTGTCACCATCATTTTACAGAGAGGTAAACTGAGGCTCTGGAAGGCAAGCAATATAGCCAAGATCACAGGTTTTCCAGTGACTTATCTCATATTCTTATCTGACATCTATATAACTTCTGTGAAGTAGCACACTGCTACTTCACTCACACCTTATTCTGCCTATGAAGAAAAGTTGGGAAAGGTGGCGGATGTGATGGGTCAGTGCACAGATCACTTGTTCCTGCCTTCCCCAACTTCCTTAAGATAATTTTCTTTTTCGTTCACTATGCCAAAATGAGTTTGCCTTTAAATCCCTAATGAGCTCTGAGTCAGTTGAGCACTGTTTTTGACTGTGATTATTGTTTTCCTGGATTTTTGTCCTATGAAGTGGTTCTCAACACTTTTGCTGTTGGCTTAAGGACATTATTTTTTAAATTTGTGGAGTGTGAAAAATTTGAACTGGTTAGAAGCCTTTCAGTGGGGCTGTATGTTAGGTCGTGGGGCAGTGAAGTATACAAGATATACAGCAGGTTGGGAGCCATGGGAGAGGTGAAAGACATAGATTACCTAAAATATCAAGAAGCTGCTTAAGTAATAAATAAGTACCTGCATTATCAGACATACACTTATGTAAATGTGTGTATGGGTGGACGGGTGTGTATTTTTTCCCCCTAACTCTGATTTACTAAGGTTATTTCATTCCAGCCTTTGAAAATTTGGTAAATTGTCTATACTCAATTTTTTTTTGTTTGTTTCTTTAAAACTTCAAGTTTCAACTTAATATTTCATTGTTCACATAAGCTGTCAAATTTGATCGTGCATTTACTTAGAGAGAGAACTTGACTTCTGGCTGTAGAGCATGTATGAAAATCCCACTGACTTGTGCCCGCTGTGATTCTGTAGGTGTGCACGTGGCTGCCCATTTGGTGAATGCCCTCAACTTCTCAGTGAATTACAGTGAGGATTTCCTTGAACTGAATGCAGCGAGATACCGAGATGAGGTGGGTGGTCTCTGTCTTCCCATTTTCCTTTCACTTGTGTGATGACTAATGAGGGTCTGTGATTTTTCACAGAAAATTTGTACTTTGCTGCTCCTTTTGAGTGCTTTTAAAATGCAGTTGTCAAGTTGAGTTTTATTCCTTTTCAGTAGAAAATATAGGTAATTGCTATTTCATAGTCTCTCCTGCTGAAAATGGGAGTTTGCAGAGTGTCTACGTTTTATATTCTGTGTGTTCAGCCGGTTGCCACTCAAGCCTACCTTCTGACTCCCAACAGCGTTTGTTTAGTTCCTGTCATCCGGCTGAGAGTGTCAGCAGTGCCATTTCAGGGTAAAAATACTTTTATAACTTACGTACTGTGCTCAAGGGAAAAGGGCAGAAAAGTAGATTGATTGTTGGTGAATCCTGATAACTCAATTTATTGGACTTAAAAAATATTAGTGAGATTTCATGATTCATTCACTGTTTTTTTTTAAAATACTCAAAATAAGTGTCCCTTAGCTTAATTCTGTAGCAAGCAATACCTGACATGGTGCTTTTCTCCATGTGAACCCACCCCTGCAATGAACCTGTATGTGCATTGGTGCTGGGCCAGCACCTCATGGACAGCACATGCACAACCCTGGGTGGGTCTCTCTTGCTTGGTACTTTCAGAATGTCCTCAGGCTGCCTCTATGTCACAATGCCAAGATTACATCAAACCCAAACTGCTCTGTGTCCCATTTAATCGTAACCTCCCCCATTTCTGCCCACTAAGTTTGGTAGTGACCGAGTAGGATTGTTCCCCATCTCCCCCACGTCCATTCACTCCCCGACATGTCACCAGAGTTTTCTAGGTTAATACTGCTGTGATCATGTGCTTGACCCTGCTTCCCAAAAGAAAACAAGGGGAAAATAACAATAAACAAACACAAAGCCAAATTAGCAGGCAACCTTTGAGAAATCGTTTGCTTTTACTGGTATTTTTAAAAATACCAATATGAATTTACCCATCTCCTCCCCTTTTCCCACCTAACAGATACAGTGCATGCTATCTGGGGATGGGCACCCTTGTGGTTTTGACCCAAAAGGTACAAGGGCAATTTATGTAAACAAAGGTTTTTATTCCCATAATATTATGAAATTGAAAAAGAATATATGATTTAACTGGTCTGGGTTGAGGCCTAGAAATTGATATTTTTTAAAAGGTTTGTTAGGTTTGTTGAGTATACCAGTATTGAAAACCACTGAAAAATCCAGCTCCTTAGCATGCCAGTAATAGCCCTTCCTAGATAGTGATTTTGGACCCACCCACCACTTCTGCCCGTTTCCCGCTCCCTGCCTCCATCCCTCTGCCGTCTTGCTCTCTGCTCATATCACTAGGGTTACTTGTTTCCTGTTCCTGCTATATACAATTTCCTTTGCTTCTCTTTTCCTTCTTTGCTTTTGTTTTTAGAATTCATGTCTTCAATAACTGTAATGTTTTTCTCATTCTAATGCAATATACTTTTGCTTAAGTTTCAATATTTTTCATCATTTTAGAGTTTTCAGGGACTAAATGTATTTTCTTTTAAGAGTGATATGTGTACAATATAAAATGTTTAAAAACTCTCAAGCAAATGAAGTTAAACATGAATGCTTCTCTTCCAAAAGCAACCACAATTTATTTTATGTTGGCTTTGAAGCTATTTGAATGGTCTTTTATGATACATATTCCTCTGAAATTTACTTGTTTTCATAAATATACATATTGCTATCTTGCTGTATCAGTCTATATAGATCTATCTCATTCTCTTCATATGAATATGTCATAATTTATGTCTCATTCACAGACATTTAAGTTGATACCAAGTTTTCATTATGAATCACACTGCTGTAAACTTACTTCTTTGTACACTTCTGCACAGATTCATAGATACAAAATTTTGGCTAAAACGTATGCACATTTTAAATTTTGATGGGCAGTGCCAAATTGCCTTTTAAAAAGGCTTCTCTGGTTTACATACTTGTACCGACAGTGTCTCAGAATGCCTGTTTCTATACTGCATCTCTGGTTTTGGTTTTGATTTTGTTTTTTTCTAATTGGATGGATGAAAATGGTAACTCATTGTTTTAAGTTATAGTTCCCCTTTATTTCTTTCCTTCCTTTATTCCTTCCTTTGTGTTTTGTTTTATTCTTTCTCCCTCTTTTCTTTTAGTAAATATGTATTTAGCATCTAGTAGGTGTAGGGCAATGTGCTAGAGGTAGATGAAAATAAAAGTGTATGTATATATACTTATATATAAATATATATTTAAATATTATATATATTTTGTATGCTATATGTATATAATAAACAGATATATTATTCTGTGAATTGCCTTTGAAAAGGATGGTGTTGTGCCATATACCCTATTGTTCTTGCTTTATGCTTTCACTCTGCCCTCAGTGACACATCCTCCAGCTCGTGACTGTTGTGTACTCCCTAGCTAAATCTGCCTTGTTGTCTTTGAAACCACCTCTCACCCTCACATTCCATCTTCTTTCCCTGGTGATATTACTTGTTTTATCTTCTGGGTTCTATCGTTATTTATTTATCTTCCTAGTTATTACCACTTTGTTTAGTCCATGTTATACTTTTACTAGTTGTTTATATATTGAGCTTCTCTAGATTATCCTTTAGCCATGTTTCTAACGCCAGAAATAGAAATCAATTGACCTAAGCCAGGTGAGAAGCTATCCCTGGACAAGTGGTCCTGTTCAAAGGAAATTACACTATATAAATAGCTTCCTATTTAGTATATAGTCTCGCCTGACCCCAGATTCTCTGGAGGCAAGAGGACAGGAATTCAAAAGCTTGTACAATATTAAGTACAATGAAGATGAAAAATAAATCCACAAATCTATTGGGGATTGATCTGAGTTTTCCAGAAGATTGAATAAAAGTTGACTATATTATAGCATGAGAGGTATAGTTTAAATAGTGCTATGACAATATTAATGTATCATATTTCCAAATAGCAGAAACCTATCCCTATTTGAATATCTCTCTGTCTTTCACTATATTTTAAACCTAGTAAATCTCAGTCTCCTTTCACTGAGTTTACAGTGTACAAACTCCCTATATATTTTATCAGTTTTTTTTTTTTTTTTTTTTTGAGACAGAGTCTCGCTTTGTTGCCCAGGCTAGAGTGAGTGCCGTGGCGTCAGCCTAGCTCACAGCAACCTCAAACTCCTGGGCTCAAGCAATCCTGCTGCCTCAGCCTCCCGAGTAGCTGAGACTACAGGCATGCGCCACCACGCCCGGCAAATTTTACATATATATATTAGTTGGCCAATTAATTTCTTTCTATTTATAGTAGAGACGGGGTCTTGCTCTTGCTCAGGCTGGTTTTGAACTCCTGACCTCGAGCAATCCGCCCGCCTCGGCCTCCCAGAGTGCTAGGATTACAGGCGTGAGCCACCGCGCCCGCCCTATCAGTTTTGATTCTTACCGTCTTGACACCTTTTGGTACGGTTTGGCAATTTTGGTAGACAGAGTATATAGTAGTACTTTCACAGTATAGCTAAAGACATTGAATCTCTAAATGGGACCAGAGTGGTCTTAAAACACACTGCCACTAGCTTGTAAGTAGCCATTAATATTAAAACCTAGGCCTTTTGAGTCCAGTGTTTTACCTTTCTCAGATGGATAGACTTTTCTGAGTTGGGATTTTTACTTGGTATAATCTCTTCAAGCATTGTGAAGAAGTTATGAAACTTAATTGAGTCTCTCTCATTGAGGAACAATATCTTCCATGCCCAGTATATGGCTCATATACCCTGCATATTCCTTGTAGAATTATATATCATCAGTGTTTTATTTTTCAGTCAATTTTTTTTTCTTTTTTCTCAGGACCCTAGAAGACTTCTCTTCATGACTGGTAAGTTGTTATTCTTAGCCCTTTATTTAGATTCGGTAACATATTTGAAAATAAGCATTGTCAAATTGCACAACAATTAGATGCATGTTAAAATATAACATGGAAAATTTGCATATCAGAGCAATATTAGGAGATGGGGCATAAGGTTGCAGTGAGTCCAGCGAAGAGAAACAAGGTGAAGGTGAGTAGTTGGGGTTTGAATGAATGGAGAGTAAAAGTAAGCAAGCAGGTTTCTAGGTCTTATGTTCTTCCAATGAAAAGAATGTCACCTCCTGCTTCTTTAGGGCCTGCTCTGTGCCTGCTGCTACGGCATGTGCGGTGGGAGATAGCACCGCCTGCAATGGGTTTCTGCCCTCCAGGTGTTGGAAAGAAACAGCAAGCACTTTAGGCATCAATGTAGTTCTTATAATTCATTAATTTAGGAGGACTTTTTGTGACCTTAAAACCTATAAAAAAAGAGGAGGAACAGTCATTAAAGTGAGTTGTTTTTCTTGAAATGTGTCTCCTATGTCATTTGTAATTTATTTTTCCTTCTCAAGCTCATTGTCCATGAAATCTCAGTCTAGACTATTAATTTGTTAAAGCTCCTTTGTACATCTCAAATTTTTCTCCTTGTGTTAGACAATTCTTAGTAAAATTCGTCTCTTTTCCAAGCTTACATTTATAAAGATGAATGGAGAAAGCTCCACTTTGGGGATTTTTAGCCACATATTTCAAGGTTAAGGACAAGTGGGTAGTTGAGATGATCTGTCATGAATGTTTGGCTGTAATACCTTATTAAGGGTCAGAATTGCACATGGGACTGGGGCACATTACCCTGTCAAATGCATTGTTTTTCTTTTGAATCAATTTTATGATGAAAAATAGTCATTCTGGTGCTTCCCCCTCCATGTCACAACTATATATTTAGATTTATAAAATATATCTTGGTTTTGCCTATAGGTTTATGATTTTTGCCATTGTAAAGTATTTCACAGTTTTCTCTTTAGTAACACAATTTAGCTTTGTTTACAACTTTGCTCAATGAAAACATGTTTTTTTATTTAAGCCTCAAGAATTGGGATGAGAAATAGGAGGGGAAAAAGCATAAAAACAAAACCTTATGTATGAATCAATGTATCTTTTGGTTCATGTGAATTCATTTAAGAGAAATAAACAAGAACTTTGTTTTAATATTGTTTTCTATAGCACAAAGTTTAATGGAAGCCTTGGAAAATTTTAAATACTTTTAAAAGGTTAGTTACAGGCCGGGTGCGGTGGCTCACGCCTGTAATCCTAGCACTCTGGGAGGCTGGGGCGGGTGGTGCTCGAAATCAGGAGTTCGAAACCAGCCTGAGCAAGAGTGAGACCCCGTCTCTACTATAAATAGAAAGAAATTAATTGGCCAACTGACATATATATATATAGAAAAAATTAGCTGGACACGGTGGTGCATGCCTGTAGTCCCAGCTACTCAGGAGGCTGAGGCAGCAGGATTGCTTGAGCCCAGGAGTTTGAGGTTGCCGTGAGCTAGGCTGACGCCACGGCACTCACTCTAGCCTGGGCAACAAAGTGAGACTCTTGTCTCAAAATAAAAACAAAAAAAAAGTTTAGTTTACAAAGACATAAAAAGATTTGTTATGTGACTAAAATACTACATTAAGACATTTAGTATGATTAATACTTCTATATAAGCAGGTGATCTTTCTACCTAGCATGAAATTCCACCATCCCATATTCCTTCCCAGAGGTCCCCATGCATGGTATTGAACTAAGCAGAGAAGATACTTAAATTGAATTTCTTGTCTCCATCTCAGAGAGTCTCTGAGAGAGATTTGGTAGTGTGTTTTACTAACCTTCTCAGGTACCTCTAGAGTTAACTGTTCTAACCCTCCTGAACATCTTATCCTACTCTTGAGCATACCGTCTCACTACTACCTGCCTTTTGCCTGAAATAGCCTCTCTTTTGTTCACCTGGTTAATGCCTGCTCCTCCTTGAAATCACAACTGACATACCCCATCATATATAAACTCCTCCCTAATTCCACTAGGCAGACTTGGTCTTTTCTTGGTCTGGATTCCTAAAGCTGTGTAGTACAGTTAGCCTTCCATGTCTGTGGGTTCCGGATCCACAGATTCAACCAACCATGGACGAAAAATATTTTTAAAAAGAGATAAAAATAACAATACAACAATAAAAAATACAAATGATAAACAATGTAGCATAGTTATTTGCATAGCATTTTGGTTACGTTAGGCATTATAAGCAATCTAGAGATGATTTAAAGTATATAGGAGGATGGGTGTTGATTATATGCAAATACTGTGCCATTTTATATGCGGGAATTGAGCATCCTTGGATTTTGGTATTTGGGAGGGGCCTTGGAACCAATCCCCAGTGGATACCAAGGGATGACAATAAAAGTACTGTGTGATGGAATAGTTTATTTTCTTATATATACTGTCTTTTCCACTTGTAGGTGAGCTGCTCTGGGATGGGGAAGGGCTTCCCCTAGGGTATGCAGAGTTCCAGGCAAAAATTTTTTGTAGGGCTTCTGTCCATATAAACATTTTAAGTTACCTCAAATCAGCAAGTGAAAATCATTTTGTTGTTCCAGTCTCACATAATTACAGGAAAGAAATAATTGTGCAGGAGTCATCCCCTTTTCAGATGTTCAGCCCAGAACTGGGGTTCAGACACAGGGCTCCCTACCTGTGAATCTGGAACTCCTAGGGCATCTGTGTGACCCCACTAAATAGTAGCAGGTGAGAGAGCAAAGTGGAATCTTAAGGATGGTAATGAGACGAGAGATGCTATTTTCTACAAATAGACTTAATCCAGTTTTGTCTTGCTACTAATGACTGAAATTAGTCCACAACCATCTTGGAATGTTCTCAGGCACAACACTTAGGGGAAAATTAAGTTCCTAATGAAGGAAAACAGAAAGAATATTTTTGTTAAGAGATTTTTTGGATTTTGGTTTGTTTAATGTTACATAGAGTCTTCTGTCTCTATGTGTCTAAATTTGCTTTTATGTAACCTAATACTGAGAAATTAAGATTGTCCTGTAGAAAATAATGCCTTTGGCAGTACAAATGACATAAAATATGGTAGTTACACTTGCTACATTAGAAATGATAAAAACATTCCAATTAAGAATTTATAAAATAAGTTTAATAGATTGAATTATCCAAACATTCATTTCAAAATGCTTACTATATATCTCCAAATTTGATAATACCTTATATGGTAAGAATAAAATGTACAATATTTAATTTTAATTAGAAAAAGCCTTCATAAACCAATTTAATTATGTTTCCAATTATGTTAGAAAAATAGGATAATGAATAGACAATGGTATATTTCTGACCACATTTTGGTATGGATGAAAATGATCTCTCATATTCATTTAGAAATGGTGGAATAGTGCAATTATTCATTTTAAAGGCTACTAATTAATGAACCTAATAATAATAAATGAACCTAATAAATAAATTGCAGTGAGAATAAACATATAAACATGTCTTTTCCCAAGGAAACAAGTATAGATTTGGCTTCATAATTTGAAAGACTCAAAGAGTTCACAGGAAAATCAGTGTACTTCACTTGGGCAAGGAACTTTGCCCAGTGAGATTAGACCGGCCCAGTGATTTCCAGCCTGTCTTTCTTGACTCTTGGAATGTGCAGTATTAGAGGTTAAGGTATTGAGACTGAGCTGAGCTGTCATTCAAGGCTAAGTTAGGGTGACCTTTGATGTAACCCAAGAGTACTCAATGCTTAGTTCTCATACAGCACTTAATACATTATGATGCAATTGCCTGCTAACTTTTTCTGTTTCCCCCAATGGACTGGGATTATTTTTTTTAAAGCAGGATTTATTTTATTTCTAGCACTTAACAGCACACTGTAAGGATGCCTCCAAGGAGTTCACTGAATGAATAAAAACCATTTGTTTAGCTCTTTTATTTGATGCATAGACCTTCTCTACAACATCTCAGATAATACGTTAGCCATCCTCTGCCTGGTTGCTTCCAGTAAGGAATTTGTGGCTTCTCAATCCAGTGACCCCCACCCCCTCCTTTTTGACCACTGTAATTACAGTATGTCTTTTTTTCTTGTTCACTACTAATTGTCAGTTATTGTTCTTCATCGATCTGAAATCTGTTACTTTCTAAATTATAAACTTTTATCTTTTACACTTTTGGGAGATGAGAATGAAAAACAAATTCTTTAGATAAAAGAGATAATATCCTACATCTGAAGAAACATTAGAATTCAATGAATTTATTCTCCTTAGTTTCCCAATGAGATTCAGTGAGATGGGAGTTTTGCCAAAGAATCAGTAACAGTACCGTACTCCCAGATGATGTGTACCACTGGTTGGGTTGGGCCTCTACTTTATCTTCAAATGACTGAAGTCAACTATTTCACCTCTTCTAAATTTTCAAGTATGTTTCCATGTTCTGCTCTAAAAGGAGTTCTCTGTTCAAAAAAGTTTGAGGAGATATTTAAGTTTAAACAAGTTTCTTGACTTTAGTACTTCTCAGGGACTTTAATACATAAATGTGCTTTGTGACTTCTCAAGGAATAGTTATGGCATTTTTAAGTAATATAAATTAATATCTGAAGGAATTAAGTTTCCAATAATGCATTTTGGAAATTATAGCTCTATTCTAAACATACCCAGTTTTTTCAGGTGTTCTTCCAATGAAGTAATTTGCAGACATTCCATGACTAATCTTGGCAAGTTCAGAGCCACATAGGAAACCTCGTATGTAGACATAGTAGAACATTAATAAAGGGCCAATAAAAAATTGGAGAGGCCCCTCCAACCACAAATTTCACACAATATAGCCATCTGGGATTCTGTCATTTAGTTATTCATTTGGTCAAATAAAGGTCTTGTAAAAATTTTTTTAAATTGGCCAGGCACGGTGGCTCATGCCTGTAATCCGAGGCAGGTGGATCATTTGAGCTCAGAAGTTCGAGACCAGCCTGAGCAAGAGCAAGACCCCATCTCAATAAAAAAAAATTAAATTATTTGAAACTAGAGAGACTGACCTCCTCTCTTATTTCCTTAAAACTTATTGAATTGTAGTTGAATTACACTAAATTATACATATATAAAGTATACAATTTGATTGGTTTTAACATATATGTATATACACATGTGGAACCTTCACCAAACTCAAGATAACAAAATTTGCATTACCACAAAAGGTTTTTTATGCCCCTTTCTAAGGCATTCTGCCTTCTTCCCCTTCTAGCAACTGATCTACCACTAAAGAATAGTTTGAATTTTCTAGAATGTTTATTAAAGGAATCATAGAGTTTATATTTTTTTTTTTTTTTTGCACTTAATAATTATGTTGCAATCGCCTGCTACCCTTTCTGTTTCCCCCAATGGACTGGGATTATTTTTTTTAAAGCAGGATTTATTTTATTTCTAGCACTTAACAGCACACTCTAAGGATGTCTCAAGGAGTTCACTGAATGAATAAAAACCATTTGTTTAGCTCTTTTATTGATGCATGACATTCTCTACAACATCTCAGATAATACGTTAGCCATCCTCTGCCTGTTGCTTCCAGTAACGAATTTGTGGCTTCTCAATCCAGTGACCCACTCCTTTTTGACCACTGTAATTACAGTATGTCTTTTTTCTTGTTCACTAAATTGTCAGTTATTGTCTTCATCGATCTGAAATCTGTTACTTTCTAAATTATAAACTTTTATCTTTTACACTTTTGGGAGATGAGAATGAAAAACAAATTCTTTAGATAAAAGAGATAATATCCTACATCTGAAGAAACATTAGAAATCAATGAATTAATTCTCCTTAGTTTCCCAATGAGATTCAGTGAGATGGGATTTTGCCAAAGAATCAGTAACAGTACCGTACTCCCAGATGATGTACCACTGGTTGGGTTGTCTGGGCCTCTACTTTATCTTCAAATGACTGAAGTCAACTATTTCACCTCTTCTAAATTTCAAGTATGTTTCCATGTTCTGCTCTAAAAGAGTTCTCTGTTCAAAAAGTTTGAGGAGATATTTAAGTTAAAAGTTTCTTGACTTTAGAACTTCTCAGGACTTTAATACATAAATGTGCTTTGTGACTTCTCAAGAGAATAGTTATGGCATTTTTAAGTAATATAAATTAATATCTGAAGGAATTAAGTTTCCAATAATGCATTTTGGAAATTATAGCTCTATTCTAAACATACCCAGTTTTTTCAGGTGTTCTTCCAATGAAGTAATTTGCAGACATTCCATGACTAATCTTGGCATGTTCAGAGCCACATAGGAAACCTCGTATGTAGACATAGTAGAACATTAATAAAGGGCCAATAAAAAATTGGAAAGGCCCCTCCAACCACAAATTTCACACAATATAGCCATCTGCGATTCTGTCATTTAGTTATTCATTTGGTCAAATAAAGGTCTTGTAAAAAGTTTTTTAAATTGGCCAGGCACGGTGGCTCATGCCTGTAATCCTAGCACTCTGGGAGGCCGAGGCAGGTGGATCATTTGAGCTCAGAAGTTCGAGACCAGCCTGAGCAAGAGCAAGACCCCATCTCAATAAAAAAAAAAATTAAATTATTTGAAACTAGAGAGACTGACCTCCTCTCTTATTTCCTTAAAATTTATTGCATTGTAGTTGAATTACACTAAATTATACATATATAAAGTATACAATTTGATTGGTTTTAACATATATGTATATAACATGTGGAACCTTCACCAAACTCAAGATAACAAAATTTTCATTACCACAAAAGGTTTTTTGTGCCCCTTTCTAAGGCATTCTGTCTTCTTCCCCTTCTAGCAACTGATCTACCACTAAAGAATAGTTTGAATTTTCTAGAATGTTTATTAAAGGAATCATAGAGTTTATATTTTTAATGGGATAGTGTGGCTTCTTTTATTCAGTCTAATAATTTCGTGATTCATCTATATTGTTGCTTAAACAGTTTCAGAGATTTTTATTGCTGATTAATTTTCCAGGTATGGGTAGTACCACAATTGTTTATCCATTCCATTGAGGGAGAGCTGAGTTGTTTACAGGCACTGACTATTAAAAATGAAGCAGCTATGAACATTCTTGAACAAGTGCTTGTGTGACTGTATTTTTGTGTTTTCTTTTGTGTAAATAACTGGAGTTGTAATGACTGGGTCATTTTGTAGTCATGCTATTCTTTTAAAAATAGTATATTTTTCATACCTTTGGCCCTTTAGGGTGAATTAGATTAGTTATCTTGCTATTCTTCTACCCCTGGGAAGTAAAACACTCACTTGGAGGAAATGGAAAAGATGATAAGAAAGGAAGTGCCCTAGGAAGGAAGTGAAGAAATGATTTGGATTAGGAACATTAGGGAAGGGCACATTTTGGTAGGCTTCCAAATCTGTGTACTGGGGAAACCAAGGAGGAGAGAGCACTCAAATGTTAAGAAGCCAAAGACTAACTTCATGTGGTCCTTACCAAATGAGACTTGTTATTTCTGTACTGAGATTTCTAATGTTGTCACTTCCAATGACTCTAACTTTGGAAAACTAAGGATTCCACCTGCATTGCTCTTACATCATACCCAGCTTGTCTGCTCCCACTGGTGGCTCATAGCCCGTGATAGCCCTTCTGTTCTATAGGTCATTCCTTGACAAGAAGAGAAGTAAGAGAATGTCCATATTTTTCCAGATGGAATTGTTCCAGTAGGTTTTCTCTGTGGTCTGATTTAAGAAAGCCCCTTAGCTGGGGCACATAAGACTTCTGCTGCTTATATGATTGTAAAAATAAACAAATGTAACTTATAGACAGGATATTTAATTTGGTAGTATTAATAATAAGATAATAAGAAAGGGAACTATTGAGATTTTCGGTGTTTTAGATATGACATATGAGCTATTCATTTTAAACATGCTATGTTTGCTAATGTTGGATTTGTAGCAATCTATCATGTCATTATTAATTTTGACATGTTTGCATATTTTCTTCTTTTTGTAAAACAAATTTTGTGCTATGTCAGAGCACTGATTTCAGCACATATTTTCCATTCTAAGAAGAAATATGCCTGTCAGTATTTTTAAAACATCAGCACTATAATATGCCTGCCTTTCTTTTCTTTTCTTTCTTTTCTTTCTTCTTCTTTCTTTCTTTCCTTTCTTTTCTTTCTTTCTTTCTTTCTTTTCTTTTCTTCTTTTCTTTTCTTTTCTTTCTTTCTTTCTTCTTTCTTTCTTTTCTTTTCTTCTTTCTTTCTTTTCCTCCTTCTTCCTTCTTCCTTCCTTCCTTCCTTCCTTCCTTCCTCCCTTCCCTTCCTTCCTCCTTCCTTCCTTCCTTCCTCCTCTGCCCTTCCCCTTCTCCTTCCTTCCTTCTTCCTCCTCATTCTTATCTTCCTCATTCATTCTTCTTTCTTTTTTTTTTAACTTTGGACTAGAATGTAGTGGCATCATCATAGCTCACTATAACCTCAAACCCCCAGGCTCAAGTAACCCTCCTGTGTCAGCCTCATGAGTAGCTGGGACTCCAGTCATGTGCCACTATGCCTGGCTAATTTTTAAAAGTTTTTGTAGAGATGGGGTGTCACTATGTTGCCCAGGCTGGTTCGAAGTTCTGGTTTCAAATTCCTGGCCTCAAGTGACCCTTCCACCTTGGCCTCCCAAAATGCTAGCTAGGATTACAGGCATGAACCACCATGCTCAGCCAATTTCATCTACATTTTTTTCTAGGTTTTGTGGTTTTTAAGAAACTTTAGGTTTTGTTTATACTTTCTTTAATTTTTTTCTAGGTAGTGAAGCCCAAAAGCAGTTACTTGAAATTGAAACTAAAGGAGCTACTAATTCATAAAAGGAGAAGTAGAGAATAAGGCAGGTGTCCTCAGAATATGGCCCATGGGCCACATGCGGGTGTGTTTGCCTGCTTGTTTTTTTACTTCAAAATAAGATATGTGCAGTGTGCATAGGAATTTGTTCATAGTTTTTTTTAAACTATAGTCCGGCCCTCCAACGGTCTGAGGGACAGTGAACTGGCCCCCTGTTTAAAAAGTTTGAGGAGCCCTGGAATAAGGGGAATTTAGTACTATGGCAGGGAAACCAAAAGAGTGAGGGTGCTGAATGTTAACCGTGTGCCTTTGCATTAGTTACTGACATTTGGTATAGTATGTGCCTGTAGAAGTAAGTACGTATTCACCATTCTGAGTGGAATATTTGGGAATACAAAAATGGACTCTTTTGTTAAAGAGAGAAAAGACTCTGCTTTGTGTTAAGTACTTTGAAACTGTTGAATTTAAAAAGACTTGAGAGAGAACATACATGCAGATATATGATTTGAATTTGGCTTCCCACAGAACAGCCTAGTACTTTGGATTTTAAAGTAATAATTTTTTGTACTTTTTTCTCAGTGATATTTAAGTTAAAACATACTTATGTACATGTTTTATAGTTCCTGGCCTGACAGGGGTCTGCATGGTAGTGGTGCTATTCCTCATGATTACAGCCTCTACATATGCAATAAGGTAAGTGTCAAAGTCATTATTTTCATGCCCAGCTGTCAGGTTACTCAGATTTTCTTCAGATTTTCTTCATTTTCATATGTAGGAAAAGTCTTGATTAACTAAAGTATTTAACCAATACAGTATCTTGGTTAATGGATTTTTCTAGGTAACTAAGAGTAAAGTAGAGATGTTTCCATTTATCATTTCTTGTTTGTGAAAAATCCCTTTGTATTAGTCAAATATTCTGAATTGGTAAGGAATTGGGTATGGATACTTAATTTGATGACTGAGGGAATTTGAGTTGTTCAGGATTTTCCTTCTGAAGGATAGTGTATGTGTATAGAACCGGGATTAAAATCAATGTGTATACATAGAGACTTTAAGGATTCCTAGGAATATATGACTTAAAATTATTTTATAACTAATTTCCTGATATGGGTTTTTTTTTCCTGTAATTTAACATATTGTTGTAAACAAAGCTTTGGAAGCATGTTTATTTGACATCTGCTAAAATAACTGGAAATATCTGTATTCACATTGATCCTCTCTGTTAAGAAATTTTGAACAATTTCAGATATATATTATCACGAGCACTTTCACATGTTCTTTCTGATGGACACATTCTATTTTTCAGAATATTTATAGTGTTTTATGTTTCTGATCAAACCTTTTAGTTAAAGAAAGCAAAAAGAAGAAACATAACATATATATTTCTTCTAATCTGCAAAATTTTCTCAATTATTCTACTTGGTGAGATGTGAAATTTAATGGAAACACACAAATATATATATTTATATATGCTTTGAAAACAATTTCCCAATAATATACTCAAATGAATCTATCCTTATACTTCTAAACACATTCTACACACACCAAAACCTCACAAATAAAATCACCACTATGAGATTAACACTGTAAATTAACACTTTGTAGTGTTTCGTTTTATAGACTTAATTCTTCTTGCTTTTTTTCACTCGTTCTCCAATTTCTGCCCTGACTAAAATCACTTTTTTTCTCTTCCTAATCTTTCTCATATATATATACATGTAACAAAAGTAAGATCATATTATATTATTTTAAATCTGATTTTTACTTAAATTTTTTATGAATTTTTTCACATTAATATTCTTTATCATTCTCTTTACTGATAGCACAGCATATCACCATATGTGTAGATATGTAGTATTTTCCCAGTCCCATATTGTTAGATGTTTTGAGTTGATTCCATTTTTTCAGTATTTCAATTCTGAAACAAACACTCCCATTCATATGTCTTTGCATACTTTTTCAATAATGTCTTAAGGAAAAATCCCTAGATGTAATGGCGCCAAATGTAAGGCACACTTTTTAAACTTTTGTAAAATTAAAATTATCTTATAGAAAGCAAATCACTAACATTAATATATGAGAGTACCAATTTTGTGGAAGAAATTTTGTTTTACTTAGGTAGAGAAATCATTTTAAAACTGCTTTTTTAGTTTTAGGAGTTCTTTAAGGAAAATTATGGCATCTGACATGTTTATTTACAAAATTGAAGATATATAGATATTTTACATCTGGAAAAAATCCATGAGAGAGTTTTGTCAAATGACTATTCTCAACTGAGCCATTACATTTGCTCTTATAAAAATTAATTGAGCATCTCTTAATCTTCAGTTTTTCTTATTTGTTTAATAGAGATTATAACCCCTAATTTGCTTTTCTCAAGCATTATCGTGTGAATCATGAAATTCTTAAATGGATTATGCAGATAGGTATCTTTTCTTTTCTCTTTATCAGTGAGGAAAAAAAACTATTAAACAATTAATTAATAAATAAGTTTCCACATTTGATTTCTGATAGTGGAATGTAATCTACTAATTCAAAGATAGTTTAATATGGATCTGTCTATTAAAATAATTAATACATCTGTTAACAGATGACAGGAATGCAAATGTTTTTCTCATCTCAATCAGTTTTAAAATGACTATTGTTAATATGAACTCTAATTCTGAATTAACATAACCATAGTAAATAAACTAGAATTAAAAAATTAAAAGCCAGAATTAAGGTCATACTTAATAACAGTAAATACTAGATAGATTCATACAACAATCAGGAAAAGCTCAGGTGGTATTTTTAATTCCACTGTTATTTACATAGGTAAGAAAGGCAACATTTGACTGGTAAAAGCCAAAACCAAACAAAACAAAAAACCATTTGGAATTATTAAAAAACATGCAACAACAAATTATTATTTCTAGAAAAGAGGTAAATTTGTCTACCCAAATCTAAGAGTTTTTGAAAATTTAGTATGAACACCAAATAAGAGTTGAAAAGGGTAATTAAATATAAAAATATAGAAAATAGCTCTTCCTGTACTAGCTATAATCAGTTGAAAATTGAGTAAAATAAAAATATATCACTCACAATTGCAACAGAAACATAAAATATCTATAAACTTAAGAAACTGAGAGGTATATAGAGAACAGGCACTAAACTCACTGAGAAAAATATATAGAGATTTGAATAAATGCTGTATACTATAAAGATGCAGTTTTTCTTCAATTTTATTTTATAGTATTACAATCCAATAAAATCCCAGACAGGTTATTTTGTTTGTTTTTTTAATTTCGCAGAGTGATTCTGAAGTTCTTCTGAGGGAACATAAAAGTATATCTTGCAAAAGAGGGGTAAAAGGAGGGATGTGCCTTACTAAACATTAAATGATTAAGCTTAAGAGAGAGAAGGACTTGCAGAAATGATCAATACATTGAACCAAGGAACAAAGTCAACAGAAAGCCTGTAAGGGACTGCTATATATAAGAATCTGCTAAGTAATAAAGGTGCCATCACAAGCTTTTGAGGAAAGTAAGGCTTAAGCTAATGAAGGTTTAGATAAATTACAGAGTTAAATGTAAAAAATGTACCATCGAAATTTATGAAACTTTAAGTGGATATTTACCAGACCTCAAATGGATAAGAATCATGTAGGAAATATTTGTCTGTCTAAAAAATGAAAACTAAAACTTCTTCTGCATGTCAATTTACATTATAAAAATTGAAAAGTAAATATGATATTGGAAAATTATTACAGTCACAAGGAATCAGTACATTCTTAAAATGTAAAATATCTCTTTTTACTCAAATGAATCTATCCTTATACTTCTAAACACATTCTACACACACCAAAACCTCACAAATAAAATCACCACTATGAGATTAACACTGTAAATTAACACTTTGTAGTGTTTAGTTTTATAGACTTAATTCTTCTTGCTTTTTTTCACTCATTCTCCAATTTCTGCCCTGACTAAAATCACTTTTTTTCTCTTCCTAATCTTTCTCATATATATATATATATATATGTAACAAAAGTAAGATCATATTATATTATTTTAAATCTGATTTTTACTTAAATTTTTTATGAATTTTTTTCACATTAATAAATATTCTTTATCATTCTCTTTACTGATAGCACAGCATATCACCATATGTGTAGATATGTAGTATTTTCCCAGTCCCATATTGTTAGATGTTTTGAGTTGATTCCATTTTTTCAGTATTTCAATTCTGAAACAAACACTCCCATTCATATGTCTTTGCATACTTTTTCAATAATGTCTTAAGGAAAAATCCCTAGATGTAGAATAGCCAGGCCAAATGGTAAGCACACTTTTAAAACTTTTTGTAAAAATTAAAAATTATCTTATAGAAAGGCAAATCACTAACATTAATATATGAGAGTACCAATTTTGTGGGAAGAAATTTTGTTTTACTTAGGTAGAGAAATCATTTTAAAACTTGCTTTTTTTAGTTTTAGGAGTTCTTTAAGGAAAATTATGGCATCTGACATGTTTATTTACAAAATTGAAGATATATAGATATTTTACATCTGGAAAAAAATCCATGAGAGAGTTTTGTCAAATGAGCTATTCTCAACTGAGCCATTACATTTGCTCTTATAAAAAATTAATTGAGCATCTCTTAATCTTCAGTTTTTCTTATTTGTTTAATAGAGATTATAACCCCTAATTTGCTTTTCTCCAAGCATTATCGTGTGAATCATGAAATTCTTAAATGGATTATGCAGATAGGTATCTTTTCTCTTTATCAATGAGAAAACTAACTATTAAACAAATTAAATTAATAAATAAGTTTCCAACATTTGATTTCTGGTAGTGGAATGTAATCTACTAATTCAAAGATAGTTTAATATGGATCTGTCTATTAAAATAATTAATACATCCTGTTAACAGATGACAGGAATGCAAATGTTTTTCTCATCTCAATCAGTTTTAAAATGACTATTGTTAAATATGAACTCTAATTCTGAATTAACATAACCATAGTAAATAAACTAGGAATTAAAAAATTTAAAAGCCAGAATTAAGGTCATACTTAATAACAGTAAAATACTAGATAGATTCATACAACAATCAGGAAAAAGCTCAGGTGGTATTTTTAATTCCACTGTTATTTACATAGGGTAAGAAAGGCAACATTCGACTGGTAAAAGCCAAAAACCAAAACAAAACAAAAAAACCATTTGGAATTATTAGAAAACATGCAACAACAAATTATTATTTCTAGAAAAGCAGATAAATTTGTCTACCCAGAAAATCTAAGAGTATTTTGAAAAAATTTAGTATGAACACCAAATAAGAGTTGAAAAAGGTAATTAAATATAAAACAAATACAAAAAATAGCTCTTCTCTGCACTAGCTATAATCAGTTTGAAAATTGAGTAAAATAAAAATATATCACTCACAATTGCAACAGAAACATAAAATATCTATAAACTTAAGAAACTGAGAGGTATATAGAGAACAGGCCACATAAACTCACTGAGAAAAATATATAGAGATTTGAATAAAAGCTGTATACTATAAAGATGCAGTTTTTCTTCAATTTTATTTTATAGTATTACAATTCCAATAAAAATCCCAGACAGGTTATTTTGTTTGTTTTTTTTTTTTTAATTTCGCAGAGTGATTCTGAAGTTCTTCTGAGGGAACATCCAAGTATATCTTGCAAAAGAGGAGTAAAAGGAGGGATGTGCCTTACTAAACATTAAAATGATTAAGCTTAAGAGAGAGAAGGACTTGCAGAAATGATCAATACATTGAACCAAGGAACAAAGTCAACAGAAAGCCCTGTAAGGGACCTTGCTATATATAAGAATCTGCTAAGTAATAAAGGTGCCATCACAAGCTTTTGAGGAAAGTAAAGCTTAAGCTAATGAAGGTTTCGATAAATTACAGAGTTAAATGTAAAAAATGGTACCATCAAAAATTTATGAGAAACTTTAAGTGGATATTTACCAGACCTCAAATGGATAAGGAATCATGTAGGAAATATTTGTCTGTCTAAAAAGATGAAAACTAAAACTTCTTCTGCATGTCAATTTACATTATAAAAATTGAAAAGTAAATATGATATTGGAAAAATTATTACATTATTACAGTCACAAGGAATCAGTACATTCTTAAAATGTAAATAGTTTACACATATCAATTCAGAGAAACACCATATAAAATGGGTAATCATCATGAACAGAGAATTCACAGAAGAATTTAATATAAATAATACACATATGAAATATTATACCTAATCTCACTTATAACAAATAATGAAAACTTATAAATTTGCATGTGTGTTTGGAGAAACAGGCAGTCCTATACTACTCTATGGTCTGTAATAAACATGTTTTTAGAGAGCAATGATCAGTGTGTATCAAAAGTATTACAAAGTATTACAAATATATATCCTTTGACCTAGCAATTCTACTTCTAGTAATTTTGATTAAAAAAGAATCAGATATGTGTAACATTATATATGTTTCAAGGATGGTAATGATATATTGATTTTGATAACAAATACTATGAATGGAGCAAATGTGAAACAATTAGCTACTGCTTTTATAAGGAGTTCTAAAAAGTTCAAGGGCATGTATCAGAATCACCTAGGATGCTTTTATAAATACCTGCCCTCCACCTCCAAGATTCTATAATATAAATAGCCACCCTAGATATACAAAATAAATGTCAGTCTTTTTTATTTCTCTCAAACATTCTATAGACTGTGCTTATCATTCCCTTCCTTTTCAGACTCCTTGTCCTCCCTTAGAACATCAAGATATCATTCTGACATTACTCTGTTCAGGAAAAGAATATAAAACTTATATCATCACTTATTTTAATTTCTTTCCTTTTGAGTTTCCCTTGAGCTACCCTTAAAGTAATTATTTAGGGAAGAACATAAGTGTTTTAGAAATTGTTGGAAAATTGAGAATATTGATAAAAAGTACAGCAGCAAGTACATATTAACAGACTATTCCTGGTTCCTTAGCCTTATAATAACTTTCAATAAACACCTTATTTTAATTTTTTTCATGTGTCTTTATTTGAAATACAAAGAACCCACAAATGATACATTGTTACTTATAATTTTGTTAGTTCTTACTGTATGGTATGTTAATCCTTTGGTATTAATAATAAATCTTAGATGAACTCATTTTAGCTTTCTGAAATTATGACATGTTTGAAATAATACATAATCTTTTTAGTGAGATGGAATGTAAAGTAGCATTGAAATTAATTTATTTGTTTTTTGCAGAGTTTCTAACTATGATATCTTCTGGTACACTCATAACCTCTTCTTTATCTTCTATATGCTGCTGATGTTGCATGTTTCAGGGTAAGTTGTTTTTTTTTTTTAATTTCCTTGGCATAGCAATGTTTATTTAAAACAGATTTTTAAATTTCCTTATTTTATTTTTTAAAACATTTAATAGATTTAGGGAGTACAAGTTGAATTCCATTACATGTATATGTTATATGGTGGCAAAGTCTGGGCTTTTAGTGTACCCCTCACCTGAACAGTGTACATGGTACCCCAGAGGTAATTTTTCACCCATCAAGTGTAAGTTCAAAATATATTTTGTGAAACTATTTATACCTAAAAATGGGGTAATGAAAGACAACTCTATAGGAATTTTCATGGGAAGTGGTAAAGTATCTGATGACTTGAAATTGTAGGTAGTGTCCCATAAAAGAAATAATTCTACTTTTAGTATAGTATATTTTAATAAAACCAGTATAAAAGTATATTAAAATTGAAAGCTAGAATTACTTCTCCCACAATGTTGTAATTTTTAAAGTCTCCTGTAGATAATATCCTAATATCTTCCAAAGGAAAAGTAATAAGAAATGAAGAACTTCAAGAAGATATTTTAGTGTTTTGTGTTTCCTGAAACTGACTTGCCATTGTAGAATTTGTAACAATGGAGTTGCCATTTTTTAGTTTTAAAAGGTCTAAAGGAAATAATAGTTGCAAACAAGGCCAAAGATTTCAAATGCTCAAAGATAAGGATCTCTCAGAAACACCAAAAAATCACAAAGTGAAAAAAGAAAGCTTCCCACATTGTTACAAAGAATATAACCAAAACATTTTGAAAAGTATATGTACCCAAACAGTATACTCAAAAGGATGGAGCTTACAATAATTTATCAAGATAGATGAAGAAACTAATGTATTTTGGGTATTTGTATGTTTGCATGACTACCAGCAGTAGACTTCCTGGTTTTGGCCTGACATTTACACTTATGTGATACAATAAGCATAGGTCATTATCTGGCAACAGGTTGACATGGTTTAGCAAGATTGTGGGGCAGGAAGCATGGACTGTCAACAGGATCATATCAGGTACTTCTTTAGTGGTAGTCCCTGTAGTTGCTCAGGAACCATTTTCCACCTCCTCCTCACCTCCCATGGAGTAACTCTGTTTAAGGTAATTACGGAGACCATATGAACAGGGATGGACTAGCTTGCCTTGGGTGAGACTTATGCTCTGTGGGAACCAGTAACTTGGTAACAGCCCATATCCCCTCCAGGGATGCCCTTGCTTGCAAGAACATGCTGCACCCAAGTAAGCTGAGGTCTCTGAGTCCCAAAATGATTTTGTAATTCAATCACAGTCCTCCTGATGCAGCTGCATTTCACCAGTAATAAACAATGTTGCCTGGTAACACAACTGGCATTCCCCATTTATCTTAGCTTGAAATAGTTCCAGGGAAACAGTGTTTGAAGAAAGGTTCAGACTTTCTGTTAATCCTTTCTTCAGAATGTTTTGCAATGTAATTTATCAGTACAGAGGGTCATTTACATAAACTATGTATTTATTTCAGAGTGCATTTTCAAAATGTTGGGGTTTTAGACTGCAGTATGTCCAGGCTAGCTTTGTTCAATACCATGTTTCTAGAACAGGCAGTTGCAGAGCATCCGGAACATGGCCACACATTATAACGATGACTCCCAGCAAGCCATTCCTGTCTCACAGGGAAGCGGGCCACCATCAGTGGACCTGGGTTCTGCCCATTTATCCTTGTGGGGATAAACATTCTCTGGAGCCTTAGTGCATCAAGAAAGTGCTTGGTAGAGAAAATCTGCTTTACATTCTATTCTTTAAATGGCTTGGTTGCCTGTCCAGGGCTATGATCATAAAGTGGACTATGAATAAGCAGATACTATTAATGACAAAAACAATTTAATTTAAAACAATCAAACAATGTTTACTGTATGTGCCAAGTATTTATGTCACTAAATGCTCAGAATTTTATGAGGATAAGTAACATTGTTTAATGCCCCTTTATAAGTGGGAAAACTGAGGTTTAGAAAGATTAAGTAACTTGCTCAAGTCTACTTAACTGATGGATCCTGGATTCAAACTTAGGCATTCTTATTCAAAAACTCCTAATTTTTTACTACTGGGCTGTTTTTTTTTTTTCCCCTTGACAAAGGTCTTGCTCTGTTGCTGGGCTAGAGTGCAGTGGCATCATCATAGCTCACTGCAACCCCCAGCACCTGGGCTGGAGCAATCCTCCTGCCTCAGCCTGAGTGGCTGGGACTACAGGTGTGCGCCACTCCACCTGGCCAATTTTTCTATTTTTGGTAGAAATTGGGTCTCAATCTTGCTCTTGCTCAGGCTGGTGTTGAACTCCTGAGCTGAAGTGATCCTTCCACCTGGGCCTCCCAGAGTGCTAAGATTACCAGTGTGAGCCACAGCACCCGGCCAAGATTTTTTTAAAGGATGTTTTCTTGACTTTTCTGGAATTGTGATCTATGTTTCTATCTTTATCAGATGAAGGAAAGTATAATTAATTATACATTCTTTTGCCTTTATGTTTTACTAAGTTAAAACTCTGAAAAAAGCTGTTTCTTTGTAATTCAAAATAGATCCATTTTTTAAAAAAAGTTCAGGAGTTCAAACAGACTTCTTCAGTTTAAAGAAGATTATGTTTTGAGTTCTTAACTTTTTTGGAAGTAAAAGGATGGCATATTTAAATTTTGATTTTACTTTTATAGAGCAAGGGTCATAGAAAGCAATGTTAATAAATAGAGAGAAATAACAAAAAAGTATCTACAGGAAAAATTATATGTAATCAATCTATTATTACAATTGAGTTAGTAGTTCTTTACTTATTGTCAGTAGGAAGGGAGAAAATAATTATCCTAATACTGAAATCAATGTCATGCAACATATACACAATATAATAAACATTCTGTAGTGTACATTTTTTCTATGAAGTTTAACTTTTAATAAAGGAAAATAGAGTATGCTTCTGGTATAGGAAAAATTACTACTGATAAATTTTCTGGCTGGGTTGGGAAACATCATGTGATCCATCTCTACAAAAATGTTTTAAAATTATCGGGGCATGGTGGTGTGTGCCATAGTCCTAGCAACTCAGGCTAGGACTGAGGCAGGAGAATCACTTCAGCCCAGAAATTTGAGGTTGCAGTGAGCTATGATCATGGCATTGCATTCCAGCCTGGGCAACAGAGCGAGACTGTCTCTAAAAATAAGTAAATGAATATATAAATTCAAATGGTTAAAATGAACCAACGAAAAGGCAAAGATTGTCATAGTGGATAAAAATGCAAGATGCTGCCTGGGCATAGTGGCTCATGCCTATAATCCTAGCACTTTGGGAAGCCGAGGCAGGAGGATTGCTTAAAGCCAGAAGTTTAAGACCAGCCTGGGCAACATAGTGAGACCCCATCTTTACAAAAAATAATTAAAAAAAAATTAGCTGGGCATGGTGGCACACACCTGTAGTCCTAGCTACTTGGGAAGCTGAGGTGGGAGGATCACTTGACGCCAGGGGTTAGAGGTTACAGTGAGCTATGAGTGCTCTACTCCACTCCAACAGAGCAAGATCTTATCTCTAAAAATTTTTTTAAAAATTTTCCAAATTTCTCACAATGAAAAATGTTCTGTTTTATTGATAAAGCATCTATCTATAATGAAGTCTATTTAAGTTTTTTTTTTTTGCCAACATTGGGAACTTAGATATATCTTTATTTTGAAATTCCTAAATAATTACATTATTCAGCTTTTTATTATACAAGTAGAATGCAGTTGTTTCATATAAGTTTCTTAGATTTATATCGAGATTTCTGTTAAACAGTATACTTTAGGTTTGAACAGAAAATCACTATTTACTGAGCGTTTACTTCCTTGTACATCAATGTGCTGAGTAAGTACCATAAGGTATAGATGAACGATATATTATGTGATCTCCAGTCTCCCAGCATTGATAATTGATTTGGAATTTTAAAAATCCAATTAAAAGAGCTAGAGATAATTATAAGACTGCATAGTTTTTAAATGTAAACATTTTATTTATAAGAGTTCTAACAATTCATAAAATTGAAGAATCAATGTGGGCAAGAAATGTTAGAAAATATTATTCTTCAAAGATGAGAAGATTAGAAATTGTTGGCTGGATTTTCTACCTAAGTAGACTTTTACAGTAAGAGGAGAAGTTCCTTCATATGATTTTCTAAGGTCACTTTCTTTTCATAGCATCTTAAATGTTAAAAGAAGCTTAAAAGATATTTTGACCAAACCTTTTTCATCTTTTTATCTCCCCTACAATGTATCTACTAAGTAAATATCTAATTCTGAAGATGTCTCTTCTGTCTTTGCTCTCATTCTCATTCTCACAGAGTTCTTTCTTTTGTGAACCAGAATACATTTTACTATAATTTCCACTCAGTAATTTAAAAATCTGTGCTTCTGAAGGCCATGGAAATAGAGTTCCTTTCCTATTTCTAAATTCTATTCATCTGTTCCTTGTATGATATTTCACATCTCATCATTATTCTGAACTTTCTCCTTCGACTATATTAATAGTTAATATTATTTGAATGCTTATCTTTTATCTTACTAATATTTGATCTAATTAAATCTTCACAACAACCCTGTTAAGTATTTGTTATTATTATTGTTATTATTCCCTATGTCCCGCTGAGAAGATAGGGGCAGTGAGAGATGAGGTAACTTGTCATGGCTAGTATGTAGAAGAAGACCTCTGGTTTGCACCCAAGTGTCAAGTACCAGAACTCAGATTCCTAACCATTAAATTTTGCTGGCTCCCATTCGCAAACCTTCTCTGTATCCCCTTTAAAGCTGAAAACCCAAAGAAATGCAAGCAGTGCTCTTGGAGTATGTGATATCGACAGCATGAGAGTCTTACTTTCTTTACTACAGATGTTACATTCATTATTATTTAGGACCCATTTTTCTTGTTCCGTGATTATCTGTGCTCTTAGCTTAAACTGGTTTTTATTCTGATTGTCTATATTTTACAATTTTTTTTCATTATTTATAAACAAATCTATTTTGTGCCACC